TTCCTCGAACCAGACTGAAAACCAAAGGGGACAGGGCATTTCAGACTATTGCACCCAGACTTTGGAACAGTCTACCTTCAAATCTCCGTCTTTCTAACACTGTAGAGGTCTTTAAAAATCATCTAAAAACTCACCTTTTCATCCAGGCGTTCCCTCCCTAAATGTTTCAAAAAGATGGCTTTGTTCGGGTTCACACCTTCACTTTGTTTATACTCATGATTTTATTTTCTACGTTTATCACTGCTATTGTTTTTCTGATGTTTTTATTGGTTAGAGGTATTTGCCCTGATCTTTATCATGTTGTACAGCGCTTTGTGATTTATATCTGTGAAAGGCGCTCTAAAAATAAACTTTTACTTTACTTACTTTACTTACTTACAGCTCCCTATTGAACTCCTTTCACCCAATCACCAGCAATCTCTGGCAAATAGCAGTACACAAGTTGAGGTCACTTGGTCTCCAGTAATGGCAGGTTTCAAAAAAAGGTGGGACTTTGGGAGCATGGCGAAATTCGCCATCACGCCATGGAAATACGTTTGCCTCTCATTTCCTCAGTTATCGTGTTATCGCTACAAATTCTCTGGTGAGTGATCCTAGTCTGACCACCAATAGAAATGGACGTGATAGGTTTGTGGGCGTGGCCTATTTTCTGAAATAGCGCCCCCTAGGACCATTACAACTGTCAGCCCCAAGCCGTGCTTTGTCTGAGAACTACGAAATTTGGTACACTAATGTAGTACCTTTTGACCTTCTAAAAAGTCTCTTGAGGCCAAGGTCAATGTCGCACAGGAAGTTGGCCATTTTTGTCCAAGTACTCGATTTAGAGGTTTTCGCACACATTGTTTGGAGAGTGATGCCCCATCACCCTTCTCACCAATCGCCTTCAAACTTCTGCTATATACTCTTAAGACATAGGAGGGGAAAATTCAACCATCAGATTTTTCAAAAGTTGAAAGGTGTGGGTGTGGCTAAGCCTCAAACTTTGGCCTTTCGCCATTACATTACTTGGCGTAATAACTCCCATGTGCATGGTCAGATCTATATCAAACTTTGTCCGTGTGATCACTGACTACATCTCAAGACAATGATAATGTGGTCAACTGGCATCACCTAAGCCTCGCCCCCTGGCAATATGAAGTATGTTGTTTTATAGTGAAATGCCCTTAGTCAACATGACACTAAGGTCATAGACTGTCTTCATGATGCTGTAATGACCATTCAGTTCTGATAGCTTTCCAGAAAGGGAGGGGCTTTGACTTTTTTTTTTGGGGGGGGACGGGTGGGACATGTCCCCCCCCCACTTTTTCAAAAGGCAGTTTTGGTCCCCTGCACTTTTTTCCGTCCAAAAACAATGTTACGCTCCATTAAATGGATTTGGTTGAGCACTAGGACCGAAACGGAAACCGGTTTACTATTAGACCCGCCCAAAAGCTAATCTATTGGCTCTGCTGATACTTGCTAACGTATTATTGGCTGTTGCTGCTGTCACTCAAGTTGGAAACAGTCAGAACGTGCTCACGTTGTTTTGCTAGTTTGGAGCCGCTAGGGAACACCGGTACTGAGTCACATCGTCAACTAGACGCTGTGAAATATCAGAGCTCAGCTCAGCTTCCATTACATAACATTTGAATAAGTGTTCATTTGTTAGTCTTTGGTAGTTAGGCACAGCCAGGAGGCAGCATGTCAAGAAAACGAAAAGTGGATATAAGAGACTTCTTTCAAAGTCAAAACGTAAGTTGGAACATGTGACACCCCTGCATTAAGCTCAGACTCACCTCCTCCTTCACAAACATACTCAAAACTAACTTTTACAAACTCATCTCCTCCACATAACTGACTCCTCTGACACAATTTATTCGTATTATTATAATTATTATTTTTTATTATTACTATTATCATCATAATTATTATTACTAGTAGTAGTAGTAGTAGAAGTGTAACTTCAAAACTCTTATCATTTAACTTTATTGTAAACCTATCTATTGCAATGCATATTTTCACATTAAAAAGCTCTGAAAAATGAACAGTATCATCATCGTCAACAGATTTTTTAAGCTTAATGTCAAAGATGTACACTTTTCATTAGATTTATCTTATTTTTTCAAATTTTTTTGTGTGTTGAAATGCAACAACTGTTTAAACACTTTTAAGGGAAAAACATATTTAATATGTTTTTATACACTCAAATGTTAGGGTGATGATCATGTGTAAAACATTAGTTCAGCATGTCCTCTAACACAGCAAATGAACAAATGGCCAGATCTCAGGAGGGACCGTTTATGTATAAATAATTTTTATACTTTTGACTAGGCCTGGGAAAGTAACAAATTTTGCTGGACGATATTTTGTCCAACAAATTGTTGATGATAAACGATATTGTCAACATTATCTAGACCAAAATAACCACTAATATAATGTTAATATATCATAATAATGCAAGTACACCCTTTAAAATGCAACAAAGAAACCTTCATTTAACATTGAAATGTCCAGAACCAGAACTTCTAAATGAATAAAAATAACAAACAAAAATTAAATAAAAAAGGAATCTCACTCCCTGTTAGAAAATGTTGCACCAAAAACAATAAAAAAAGACCCAAAACAATAAATACAATGGCCTATCCATTGTCAACAGCCAAAACTGCACTTCAATAAGGATGGAAAAATTATTGAGATGGGCATGTGACGTGTCAAGGGGTCTTTACATAACACCCCCCACCCCAAATCTGCACAAGCCTGCTGTGTCCCCCCCACTTCTGAAATCAAAATTTCGTCCCTGGGCTTTGATGCCATGGCAAATTCTGGCGTGACGCCATGACCTTACGATTGACTGCAACTTCCATAAACAGCCTCGGATCTGCCCAAGACTGAACATGGCAATCAACAATCATGCCCTTTAGCCAACGAGGCACAAACGGTTGGTGAACTTTGTATAATATCACCACAGCGCCCCCTACATACCTTTAAAACTGTAATAACCCCTGCAGACGAGGTTGCAACTGCACCAAACTTGCTATGTGTCATCAAACAAAGGCACCCAACACAATCCTGTGGTCATTGGTTGATATATCTTTAGCTCCGCCCCCTAACAGATATTAGGCCCTGAATAACACATGCATAATGCAATTCACACCAAACTGCACACAAATAATTGTTGTCAACTTACAAACTGCTCCATGGGATATTTTCCCAAATTTGGGACAGCACCCCCTAGAGACAATAAAACCTTTGTAACTTCTGCAAAAAAGCTCTAAACTATATCAAACATGATGGGAGTCATCACGCAACTGCAATCAACATATGTATGTGCTCCCTTGTTCAAATCACTTTAGCTCCGCCCACTTACAGCCTTTTGGCTCTAGATGACACATGCAACATTTGATTGATGCCAAATTAACAGAAAACCATCTTTGATGACCAAAGACGACCTCTATGGGATTTAGTTGTAAGTGGTCACAGTGCCCCTAGATAGGTTCAAACTTTATTAACTTCTAAAGACAAGGTCAGAGTGGCATTAAACTTGGCTTGTGTCATCACATGACCATGCCAAACACATTGATGTGGTTGTTGGTTCAAACCCTTTTAGCTCCACCCCCTTTCGGTTCTCTGGCTCTAGATAACACACACAATGTCTGATTAATGCCAAAATAACAGAAAACCATCTTTGTCAACCAAAGCTGACCTCAATAGGATTTTTCTGTAGTTGGTCACAGCACCCTCTACATAACTTTAACCTTCAATAACTTCAAAAAAACATGGTCAGAATAGCATTAAAGTTGGTCTGTGTCATCACACCACCAGTGTGGTAAAGATAGAGTAGCCTATCCCCTAGTGGTGAGATGTGTAATTTAATGGTGGGCTCAGAGGAGATGCTGAGTCAGGGTGAGGTGCAGACGAGGAGACCGTTCGCGGTGTCTGAGGTCGCGGGGGTCGACGTTTCTGTTCAGCGGACGTGCCCGGGTGCCCCGGGCTGCCGGCCGGGCCGGAGCGGCGCGGAGCTGCAAGGGCCAAACGACGCTGCTTGCAGCTTTAATTCTTCTTTGCTGCCTGAATCCTCCAGCCACTTTATTGGACAGCGTTCTTGCCTCGAGGCTCTGTCGTGGTTCACAATTTTCCTCCCGTGTTGTAAAACAATTCTCACATGAACACTGCAAGACTGAGAGGTAGCTAAGACCATTCCACATGTCTCTAGAGGCTGACTCTTAAAGCGATACCAGGAAAATGGGTGTATGGGTGTGTGCGTGAGTCCATACTTCGCCTGATCCTAATGCTGGACTTCAGAGGAGCGAGCGGCCTTCAGCCAAAGCTAAAGCATTCCTTTTCCATTTGGGAACGCTTGTTAAAGGCCAACTAGAAACACATGAACTTATCATTTCAGCAGAACCAGAGAGAACAGCCCACACACACATATGGCAGAAGATCCTGGATCTGTCAATCATTCCTATAACAGATCAGATTAATGAGCTGCAAAGGAGCTTATGTGCAGTGATGTTCTTATCATGTCTGCTATTTATAGACCTCTGTCACTGAGCGAGTCTCTACTTATTGTGTGTTTTCTTCTCCATATCCAAGGTGCTGTGTGACAGTCAGTTCTGTTGTGGTGAGGTTAGTTCTGACCTGAGAACTGGTTGGACCTGGTGCACAACCAGTTCTGTATGGATGATCGTCACTGAAGGGCTGGTGGTCTCTGCTGAAAAGAGGATTTGATGAAGATGATTCAGAGGCATTCAAGTTTTTACTTTTGTTATTTTCATTTGACAGCGGGCCTTGTCAGGATGGCCCACTGATTGGACCTGTTGGTCCCTGCAGGCCATGAAGATGATGTACTTCACTCAGCGATGAAGAAGATGACCAGCATGAAAGCCCCCAAACTGCCATACACCCCCCCCCCCCCCACACACACACACACACACACTCACTCACCACCCCAGGCGCATTCACAAGTCTTTAAAATATCTCTAACTAATTTAGATTTAAAGATGAATTACCAGAGACAGATGAAAGTTTTTCTCATTTTTTTATTGAAGGAAACATCTTCAGCCATTTGACCCATACAGGTAGGACACGTAACATAATATAGCCAAAAACAACAGAAGCCTTTGAGAACATTTCCTTTGAAGCCCAATCACAGATTCAAAAGCACTGACATCTGCAGTGTCTGAAACATTTATAAAAATAACAATCATAGAAAATATACATACGTGTCCAGGATTGGTTTTCAAAGTGTGATTTGTAAAAGTCTGCATGAGCAGAAACACAAACTCCAGACACAACGTGTACAGGACAGTGCAGTAACCCACAACTGGTAGGCACGATCACGACGCGACAGGCGGACTGGAGCGAGCTAGTCAGCTGTCAGGACTTCACTGAGTACAGATTTACATACACAGCCTTGGCATGGCAGTCATCAACAGGAAACAGCTGATCAGAGCAGTGGTCGTTACTAATAAGTGAAACACAACAAGTAAGTGTTTCAACAGTGAACTGCTCTTGTTGATGCTGTTCATGGGGCCAAACCTGCACCATTATGCTTATAAACACCTATTTTTTATTTTCTGCCATCTGGAAAAGCTGCAGTTTACTGTGTGTGTTGAAGCTATAAATATTTAAATGTATATACATGCAGTTCTTCAGAATGCATGTGGGATAAATCCATGAAAAAAAAAACATTGATGAGCACCAAGGAAGCCACCGAACTAAAGAAACACAAGTCACAATGGGAAATCTCCTGTGGCTGGTGTGTTTATGTCATATTCTTCAGTTTCTGCACTTAGTTTCAACATTCAGGATTAAAACAGAGCAAAAGCTGATCCCAGTCACCCCCACCCACTCCCAAATAAAAGATACAAGCTGCTGGTGCAACCTCCACAGAGACATCATCTAAAGTAAGGTAGCCCTAGAGATAAACCCCGTCACCAGCTGCACCCATCTCTCCAGACTGATCACTCCCCCCTGTGGCTTCCAACCACTTTGCCTCTTCTCTCTGATTTTCTCTACCTCCATTACACTTTCTCTCTTTTTCTTTGTTATCAGTGCAGCCTCTATATCAGCAAATGGCCTCACTAAAATTTTGTGCCAGAGTCACTAAAGCATTCCTCCAGACTGGGAAAAAAAAGAGTAAAACAAAAGCGCTGAGCAGCAGTTGAGGAATTCCCTGCAAGGGTGTTACAGCAAACAGTATCTTATCATCTGAGGTGTCTCTGCAAACATCCACCTTTAGGATGAAGGTCAGGGGACCAGTTGGACTGATCTTGTTTGAGAACGCAAAAGCATTGCTGTACAAAATATACAGAAGACGTTGTGTTTAGTTTATTTGTTGCTGATGATTTGATCCCCCACCTGCTGTGACGTAATACTCAAACGTGGTATTACTTAGTGAGGTTAAGAGTTTGATGCTCAAATATTGACACGATTAATGTAAACGTTGCAGAAAACCTACCAACTGCACACTCGGCTGCTACTCAAACACCAGTGTGGTGTTTTGTTTCATGCCAACACCAGTCAAACATGTTTTTCAATTATACATTCATGGAAACATGGGGTTGCTACTGGTTAAAGTGGGGGTCACATGGTCTGCTTGCTGTTTTCACTGCCTGCTAAAGGGCAGTAGGCACTTAGAAATTCACATAAGCACACATATACAAATAGACTTTATGGTAGCTTCATATTCTGCACATTTTTTTAATTCTCCCATCAAAAAATGGGTTTTATTGTAAGAAAACAACATCTTTGGTCTGTAAACAACCAGCATTATATGCACGTGCATGATGCCAGGTTGTTACCCAAATGAGTTTAATGGCAACTCGTCTCGGTTCGGCTGATGCAAAACAGAATGCAGGGTGCTCATTCAGGAGCTTACCTTTAATTTTATCCAATGTGTGTGTGTGTGTGTGTGTGTGTGTGTGTGTGTGTGTGTGTGTGTGTGTGTGTGTGTGTGTGTGTGTGTGTGTGTGTGTGTGTGCATGCGTGTGTGCATGCGTGCGTGAGTTCATGGGCACTGAACTGTGCTGGAGTAGCTGTCAGTTTCGAGACACTGATGCAGCCGTTCTGTCTGCAGCGAAACACGTTGCCTAATTAGTTTGTGACAGGTCCAATCAGTGTCGCTGACAGTTCCGCTGCTCACATTCAGCACAAGCTCACGCTTCCCCTAATTAGTGTTTTCCAAGCCGCTCTGGCCTCAGGCTCAGGTGAGGTTGGTGTTGGGAAAAATGTGTCAGTTTCACATTAAAACTCACCCCTAAAATTAAGGCCGGCTGTTCTGGGCCGATCATTCATACTCAACGTATGAACTAAAACAGAAGCTTTGATGCAAAACATTAACCTGTCCCTGTTCTGTCGGCTGCAATGCACTGGGCAGATTTCAGGGCACAACTTTAACGTTCACTCCTGTTTAAGGACATCAGACCTCCTTCCTCCTTGCATGACGGTGAACTCAGTTGCACGGCAGCCATGTGGAGTAGGTAGGCTGTTGGCAAGCAAACACAGGCTGCACCTGTGCTATGTAGTAGTTACTGAAGTTGCCATCAGCCACATAAGGAGCCGGCTGGTAGTAGCACGTAACATTAGCCACGTTGGGAATGACGTTCTGCTCTGCAAGTACTCTCACCGCCAACATGGCTATGAGCCCTAAGGTCTGTCTTCTCTCGTGTCCCATCAGACACACGGTGCTCTCATTCACAACTCCATGGAGGGTCATCAGATAGTCGTACTTGCGGTCCTCCAGGCCAACAAAGTGGTTTTGAAGGTAGGACTCAAGCTTGCGTTGCTGCTCACCGATATCAGGGAAGTCAATGAAGAACCTCGAGCACATGTAGCGCTGCAAGGACTTCATCTCTGTCTCTGACGCGGGCCGGAAGCCCCTCACCTGCAGGTGACAGTACTTCAGGAGGCCCCCACCTCGGATCTCCTCCGGGTTCCTGGTGCAGATGATCTTGTGACGTAGGTGGTCCAGAGCCTCGCTGAAGTCCCCGTACACACTCTCGCCCACAATGGTGGGGTGGAAGGTCTCAGCCATGGGGTTCTCTGAGCACTCGTAAAACAGCAGCAGGGAATCCAGTTTGATCTGGAAGGAGTCCACACTGAACTCAAACTGCCTCCGAAGGGAGTCCACGAACTTCAGCTCCACGTTCTTCCCTCGGTTGTTGGAGAGGGAGATGAGACTCCAGCGGTCCGAGTCATTACACACCTTCACCATCTTCTGCACATAGGCTTCCTGTGTGTGTGTGTGTGTGTGTGTGTGTGTGTGTGTGTGTGTGTGTGTGTGTGTGTGTGTGTGTGTGTAAGAAAAAAAGAGGGAGAGAAATCCAATATTAGTGTTATACAATTACGCTGATGCCATTGAAAGTGCAATCACTAATCAAGTAAACCTGAAATGTATTTGTTCATTTACTCTTTTCCATGTGACTATATATATATATATATATATATATATATATATATATATATATATATATATATATATATATATATATATATATATATATATATATGTAGAATCCTTGTAGTGACAGCAGAAAGTTCTGGTCCCAATATGGCTGAGCCTAAAATTGTCTGTCTTCAAAGCCACAGAAAATGATAAACTAATCTAATCTTAGGTCCAGTTGGCACAAAGTAAATCTCATCACCAATCAAGACTGGAGCGTAACTTGTGTGTACCTTCAACGTTAGAGGGGATATTTTCTCTTTATTCACACAGTCGGGTAAAAAATCCAGGAGGCAGTCCAGGACTATGTCCTTCACAGTCTGGAACTCGCTTTCTCCTTTCAAATCTGCGCAGAAAATCAGGTCCAGGTCCTTGTAGCCCAGCCCGCTGTACTCGTGCAGGATGTGGCTGGCCGCAGAACCGTTTAACCGGACGTCCCGAACATGGATCTGCTTCTCCTCCAATCGAGTCCGCACCACTTTAACGATCTGCCGTGGCTGCATTTCCAGAGTGGGAAAGTTTCCCCGGCCGTGGATCGGAATGGTCTCCGTCAGGATGGCGTCCAGCCGCTGCACTTGCTCCCAGCTGAGGACGCTGGCGCTGCTGCTGTCAGTGTCAGACACACAGCTGGCGCCTGAGCTGCTATCGTCCTCTGACATGGTGCACAAAAATCCTCAGCGGTTTGGAGAAAACTGGAGTTTTTCGAAGAAGATAAATGGGCAATAAATGAACGTTTGCGTCTTTACGCACGAGTTCCAGGTGGGGGCAACTTCATCTGCATGGGACTCTAGGTATTTTAAATAATCTGAAGTGAAGACGAGCTTCTAAAACTATACTTAAAAATATTAAAGACTTAGAGGCTAACTCTAACCGCCGCTGAGAGGGTTTCAGTGTGCGCAATGAGCCTTTAATTAGAGATCCAGCAGAGCCTAGGAGCCTCGGCGGAGTTGCAAATCAGACTGGAGGAGGAAGACCGAGCTCTAACTTTCCTCTCTTCTCTCTTGAGCCTCAGAAACTTTCGCCCATCAATGAGTCCGAGCGCCGCGCACCACAGTCTTTGAAGGTCGGTGATGATCCAGGAGGGGGGTTTGCTTTTCCGGCTGTGACTCCATCGCCCAAAGGCACGCCTATGATTTCACGAATTTGCATGAATATGCTGCTCCTCAAGTCGCTTTTTGGCACCGTGCTCCATCCGACGGTCAGCCCTTCAGATGATTGTGGATTTTTACGCACAGCTCCTACATCGTTTCAGTTTACAGCTGAAAATAAAATTCCTTTAACACAACTTGAGTCCGCTGTCGGCGCCACAACCCGCTTAGTTCAACATTTTTCCCTCAGCTGTGGAAAACTTAACCGTTCCCAGACAACTAGACGCGCAGCAGCGTTCTGTTCGGTCTGCGTAAAGTCTGGGGATGTCAACTGGGTATCACCCCGCCCCTCCGCCAGACCGCTGCTCAGCTCATTAAAGAACCCGCTCCAGAACCTCCCTTATACCGAGAAACAGATCTTTATTCTAACACTTTATGAAGAATGATCGTGACGTTCCGGCCTGTTTAAATTAATCTGATTGAATTTTCTAAGCCTTAAATTATTTATTAAGACTTCCATCATTAAAAGACATAAAATGAACAAAAAGGCACTAAAAACCCCACCATCATCATAATGGCTTTTCAGTCCCTCACTGCCGAAGTCACGTTACCACGTCGCCCCCTGTTGGCGTGCTTTGGTTCTGGCATTACTCATATCTGCAGCAAAATGATGAAAAATTATTTGAAACATTCTGATAAAACTGTTAAACAGTTAAAACCCGGACTTATTGTGTCATCATTAGTGCCAATCATCCGTGGAGAGCTTTACAACTTTTCATTAATGTCTGAAGCAGGTAGGGGATTAAGCAACCTCAGAGTTTTGACTTGAAGTGTTATTTTATAATGAAAATTAAGAAATATATTTTATTTTAATTATTTCATTTCCACACTAAAACACAACGCGTGCCTGCGTGCGTGCACACTTTACTCTGTGCTCATTCTTCACTGTTGGGGTCTCAGTAGTGTGTGGAGCATTCATGCAGCCACAACAGCTTGGCTACTCATTTCCGTGCTAGTTACCAGTTTGATTCCTGTGGAAGAACATCCTATACCTCCACCAGCTTTTGAGGGACAACGAGTGCTGTCCCATCATGCACCTGAGACTCAAACACACCTGCTCAAACAAAAGCCCCAACAGGAGAATATTCCAAGAGGTTTTGACACATTTGGGGGGGGGGAATGACACTTATGCTTTGCTGTGTTGCTCCTTCCATGGATGCTCACTCCTACCTTGTATTTTACATCAGGCTTTCATGTGAAATACAAAACCAACTGGGCATATCAGACGGGAGAAGATACTCAATAATAATGATTCTGCATTTATTTTGAGGAGGACAGATTTAATCTAGACTGATGAGTTTGGTAGCAGGTCAGCAGCCAACATATAACATTGTTGGATGTGCATCAGTCAGTTTGAAAGCATAACTTTATTTTTGAACCTGGGTTCTCTCATAAAACCTTAAGTTTCTGGAGAAGCCCAGAAGTTTCCAGGTGATTTTCAGCTCAGTCAGTAAGAGTCAGGGGTCGGATGAAAGCAGAGGCCATGGACACTGAGGGTGCACTATCTCAACTATCTGCATCAGCAGATCCACCCCCTCTGCAGGACAAGATACACACAATTAATTATAGTATACACAGGACACCCTGCAGCAATTTATGTGAAAACAGATGTCCACTTTTTATGGAAAGGAGGCTGCAACAGTTTTGATGTTATTATCTGTCATTTTTGTTTCCCTACTTTGCTTTGGAGCGTACTGGGCAGGTTGAAAGCAGGTATCTGAAACCAAATTCCACATCTGGAAATGTACATGGAACTATTAGTCATTTACAATATACCAAAAGCTGCTTGGTTGATGTGTTTCCCAGGTGTAGAGACATAGTTGTCCCACAGCCGTGCATGGCGCAATGCCAAATAAAAGCCACTGTCAGAGACAAACAGCAGGTTTGTGGAGCACCACTCAGGAGATGTCTAGTGTAAACGCACTTTTTCATCTCATTACTCATCGTAAACGTGATGATTCATGAGAGGCTTATCGAAAGACAAGAATTGGATAATGTTGTCTTTCTGGTCATTCAGACGTTCACACTGTCAAACCTCCTTTTTCCTTTTAAAGAGAGGACTTTTCCTTAAGTCACACACAGTTTGCCTAAAAAGGCTCTGAAATATCTTTGGGATGGTTGGAGCCAGGTTTGCATCGTTTATGTAACTGGATGAGTCGGGTTTGAAAATAACTTTTTATCCTCGATCAAAAATGTGGCTCAGGATGAACCGTCAAACTTCAGTCATTCCAAGCAGATTTAATGATTAAAAAAATTAAAATGCAAATAGTTTTCTGTGAGTAAATTAGTATTTTTATATTAACAAATGTCATCATTACAGTTAAACTTGAATTACTTTGAGTAAAAAATGAAAGTCAAATACTTCCTATTACAGCTGAGTGATGCTAGCCACCCAGCAGATGTGTTAAAATGTCCTTCTTCCAATAATAGTAATAGTCAGTCATATCTGAAAACATCTGGATCACAAACTCACATTTATCAGGTTTGGGAATAAACAGAAAATGAAGGATTATAATGGTCCTTTTGAAATGATTTTCATGTACAAGTGGATAAAAAGTGTTTTTGAGTATATGCAGCCACCTATTACACCTGAGTAGCTCAACAAACCACAACAATAGATGCTAAGTTTATCTGTTCAGCTAAAATGCAATTCTGGGTGTTATGCTGGCGGTGGTCGGAGGGACTGGTGGGGCCAGTGTTTAGCGGCCTCACCTCTGTCAGAGCGCCCCGGGGCAGCTGTAGCTACATCGTACCTCATCCCCACCAGCGTGTGAACGTGTGAGTGAATGAATGAATGAATGAATGAATGAATGAATGAATGTGTTGTGAAGTACCTTGGAGGGTCGTAGAACCCTAAGAAGGTGCAATACAAATACAGACCATTTACCATTTTTTTACAGTGTTGTATTATAAAGTCTTCTGGAAGCCTTCATACTTGAGACATGAGAATGCGTTTTTTCCTCAGGCTAGATTACTAAATCAGTTTTTTTTTTCTTGTTGGCATTTGTTTATTTTTCTTCTTTTTTTGGTTCAAATTAAATATTTCATTCATTCATTCATCCATTCATTCATTCATTTATAATTTGTTCATATCATAGTCAGTTGTTCTGATCCTAATGTTTTGTTGACTATATACGATTTTAATAGATTCTGCTTTATTCCAACTCAGCTAACAAGCTAGTTAGCAGAGTTAGCAAAGGTAGCCAATGACCGTCTATTTTCCATCAGAAGCAAATGCAGCACTTAGGTGTAGGAGACTATTTTCATGTTCAGCCTGCATTAAAAATTCAGTCACTGATTATAATCAGGAATAATAACCAAAAAATAGTTTTTCAGTGAAGTTTACCTTTAAAAGGCTTTAGTCTCTGTCACTATGACCAGTGGGGGCTTGCAGGGAATTGAACGCAACCATCTTACCGTTTATGAGCGGCGTGAAACAGCGAAGCAGAACCTGCATCAAGACAGTCATTTATGTTTGGAAAGACAGAGTTCTTACGTTAGTCCTCAGTTTGAGACAACAAACATGAATGGCTGTCTGGATGCAGGAAACAGTTTTTGTTTGTTTATTTATTTAGACGTCGAGAGGAGCCAATTGAGGTGGCTTGGGCATCTGGTTGGGATGCTTCCTGGACACCTCCCTGGTGAGGTTTTGCGGGCACGTCCAACTGGAAGGAGACCCAAGGGAAGACCCAGGACATGCTGGAGGGACTATTTCTCTCAGCTGGTCAGGGAACACCTTGGGATTCCCCCGGAAGAGCTGGCTCAAGTAGCTGGGGAGAGGGAAGTCTGGGCGTCCCGGCTTAGGCCGCAACCCGACTCTGGATAAGTGGCTGCAAATGGATGGATGGAGATTTATCTACTACTATTACTACTACTACTACTACTACTACTACTATTACTACTACTAAACTTTATTTATATAGAGCCTTCACATGGCCCAAGGACCAAACAAAGCGCTGCACAACAGAAATGAACATAAAGAAATGAAAACATATAAAACCATTTAAAAACCAACAAAAACATGTAGATAAAATCTAGGTGGGGGAGCAAAAAGTGCAAAGCCACCCATTAACTTGACTCCTCTTGAGTAAAAGCCAAAGAATAAAAGTGTGTTTTCAGATGGCTCTTAAAATTGCCGAGCGTGATGGCCCGTTTGACACATGTAGATAGCTCATTCCAGAGCCTCGGCCCCAGCACTGAGAAAGCACGACCCCCTCGAGATTGTAGTCTGTGTTTGGGAACGACCAGCAGTCGTTGCTGTGCTGACTGAAGGTTCCTTGAGGGAACATAAGGATGGATCAGATCTGATTGTGGAGCCAACTCATTTAAACATTTAAAAAACACCAGAACTTTAAACGAAATTCTAAAGGAGAGACAGGCGTGATGTGTTCAGATCTCCTGGTACCAGTCAGTAACCTGGCTGCCGCATTTTGGACCTTCTGTAGTTTTGATATGAAGGCCTGCTTGATGCCTGCATAAAGCAAGTTACAGTAGTCCAGTCTGGTAGTAATGAAGGCGTGGACGACAGTCTCCAGATGTTTGCGTGAAAGAAATGGCTTAATCCTAGCTATGCTCTTGAGATGGAAGTAGCAGGTTCTGATTATTCCATTGACCTGGCTGTCCAGTCTGAGCTCCACATCCAACTTCACCCCCAGATTGGTGACCACAGCTTTCTCAAAAGGTGCTAATCGAGGAGAGCCAATCCCTTGGGCACATCATGTGTGTTTTTCGAGTCAAACAGGATAGTCTCAGTTTTATTCTGGTTGAAAAACAGAAAATTCTGAGCCATCGATAATTTGACCTCCTCCAAGCAGTCGATGGTTTAAAAGAACTTGAATTATTGCGTGATACTGGTAGATAGATTTGACAATCATCCACATACAGGTGAGACTTGACGTTGTGCCGACGAAACAAGTCACCCAGCGGCAGCAGGTATAGGAAAAAGAGGAGGGGGGCCAGGATGGATCCCTGAGGCACTCCACACTGCAAATCAGCAGTATCAGATGAGCAGTCCCCCAGTCTTACACAGAAATTCCTCCCTGAGAGGTAAGATTTTATCCACTGGAGTGCTAAGCCAGGTCAAAGGTGAGGTAGCTCCTGGTGTTCTCTAATCTTCCATCACGGTTCTTGTTGTTTTTAGAGCTCATTGTTTCCACAGCTTAGTTAATGGTGAGGCATCTCCACTTCTTCTTCTTGCAGATATCTGACTGCCTCCAGCATTGGAAAA